CGCTAGGGGCCACTCCTCCACTTCAATTACTCAAGTCGGGCGCGCAACCCCAACCAGAAGGTAAGCTCGTTTAGTCTCAATTGAATTTATTGACACAAGTGGATCGCGCAGGGGAGATTACGGGAGAATGGATGTGCATACCCGAACTCGCGCACAAACGCGTCGATGTGCAAGTGCTTGGCGTCAAGCAGCTTTCAGGAAGGGTCTCGCAAACGATGCTCGCGCTCGAAGGTAAATTCGGCTACCTCCTACTGGCAGCCCCCGTATCTATCATCGACAAGAAAATCGAAGTCTTTGGGGTAGGGAAACATGGCACCAAGCATGCCATTGATAGGACGTGCATCAAACCGCGCCGGGAGGATGACCTCCAGCGACGCTTGTGGGAGATAACCGAGCGTGTAGTCGTCCTTGGCCCAGACGTGCACTCCGACACGCGTCACAAAGGTCACTACGCCCAGACTATCCCCTACCTCCAGCACACGTATGGTCCCGATGTCGTTGGTGTCAAATTGGAGGAGGGCGGGCCGCCTGTGTTGTTCCACATGTCGAGTTTGTGCTTGGCCAAAAATATCAGAATACAGGCACCGCACGGCATTTTCGACACTACCGTATTTGTGTAAATCTGTACTTAGTTCTTGTCAATACGCGCCTAATTTTGAGACTACAAAGTTTGTATAGTTTGTAATAGTTTCTGTTAATAGGAAATAGTTCGAGTCTGCGAAATTAATAATGGTCGAATAAGCGGGGAGACGCGTGTCTATAATATGTTTATGCTGTTTGACGCCTAATAGGACGCGTCAAACGCGTAATAAGACGCGTCAAACGCGTATACGACGGAGGAACGCGGGGGCAGATATGCACAGGAAAGCTGTGCTGCTATCGTCCGGGCCGCTCGGAGAAATCCTTATCAATCTTATCGGTTTCTCCGAAGATCGTCACATCAAGTGAGGCATTGTTTGTCCTGAGCGCCTATTTGCTCCTTGCTTACGACGACCACCATCCTAGGTAGAAATAGTAATAATAGAACATTGGCTGTACAATAGACAATAGACACTTCGTCTACGTAGTTTACTTACTGTACTTATTTCTTAGTGTACTTGTTTTATAACCGTTTGATTTCGCGAGTAATACGAGACACGTAGCGAACAAAAAAAAGAACGGAAAAAAAAATTCCGTGAGTCGCAGCGCTTTGGCGCGTTAATGACGGACCACCCAGCGCTAACCGGACCTGTGCTAGGATCAACCACCCCCAGCGATGGTCTTGAAGCTCACCCCGAAGGCGCGGCATGCGGCGGCGACGTCCTCCCCGACCTACACTCTGCAAGAAGGACCGCGGGTGCCTGATCCCCGGCGCAAATTGGATCCCAGAGCACGTCGTCCCGACGTTTTACTGCATGACGGACGAACTCTCGTGCAGCCCCGCCTCCCCGCCCTGCTCACTCAGTTTGGATTGATGGAAACATCGCACGCTGGACGCGCGGCGCCCCCGGTATCGGACAAGGATCGTGCGGCAGAGGATTTTGCGGAAGCGGCGGCAGCGGATCCTGACATTATATTTATGGAGCGTACGCCGCCGCCCGACCCAGGACAACATCGGCGCAAGCGGGCGGCCCAGTGGGAACGGTGGCAGCGGTCAGTCTTACCGATGCTCCTGCCGGAATTGGCGCGCCTGTTACACGAAACAAAGTCTCTGCGCGATCTAGACGGATGCCGCCTGCAAACACCGTCCTGTGCGTGCAATCGGAGGAGCCATAAAGTCGCCGTGGTGCATTTTTTATGTGTGTCATTTTTCGACCCCCAATTTCAAGTACTAACTCGTTCCAGCTATAGAAGACATGGAAATCCACGTCTGTGAATGCACCCCGGCCGCTGTGCAGCTGATGCGACTGGGCGCGTTTGGCTGCGCTCCAATGCTGCCGTCGCTGGCCGTGGATCTACGCGTTCTGGAATTCGCGATGAATCTGTTCCTGCAGATCTCTCCGAACAACACCGCGTTTAGCCTGACGTTGGAGCGAGTGCTGGCGAACATGGGATTTCAGCTTGAGCACCAGGTGAGCTTGCCTTCCCTCGTCCCTGACCGTATTTGCTAATCACGAAATCGCGCACAGAACTCTTTGCGACGGCGATTCGGTAACTGCCTTATGTGGTACACCCATCTCCGCAACCTCTTGAAGCATCACTACAGCGGCATCATCGACACAACGCGTGAGGAGCTAGTTGGCCCCGAGGTGCCAGCTTCGCCCCCCCCACCGCGCGGGCGTTTAAGCGAGCGGGCTTCGGCTCGGGCGGCCTCATCCTCAGGCACTCCTACCCCACGCCGTCCCCGTAGTTCAAGTGCTTCCCCACTGCGCGGGCGTTTACGCGAGCGGGCTTCAGCTCGGGCGGCCTCATCCTCAGGTACTCCCACCCCGCGCCGTCCTCGTAGTTCAAGCGCGTCGTCAGCCTCTTCGTCCGACACTCGAGGCAAACGCGGCAGGGAGCCGTCGCCCGAGGCTCCACAAGTCCCGTTCCCCGAACCGCCCCCTAGACTGCGACCAAGCGAATACTTGCGGCGTCGATGCCCCGCCTGCTTCGGGAACCTCAAGCATGACCCCTCACAAGTGTAAGTCCAGCGGATACCATGCCACCCAGGACTAACTTCGCCTGCAGAGCCGACGTCCACGTGTGTATCGACGCCTGCTTCACGCATAAGAAGAAGAAGTCTCCGCGGGATCCCCCAAAAAAACACCCGGATACGCACTTCATTCCCGAGGAGCAGGCGGCGCAAACCGAGGCGTATGTAGATGGCGTGCGCAATGTGTCGCACAAGAGCGTGAGGCCTCGTAAACGTCGGGCCGCGGCGCAAGCGGTGGAGGAAGAGGAAGATGGATATGAGCACGAGAGGCTCCTCCTACCTCGCTCCGTCCTCGACGGATGTGAGGCATCCTTCAAGGCGGCCGATGAAAAGCGGCAGAAAGCAAGCACGGAGTTCTTCGAGGACACCGCCCTCATGGCCCTGGTCTGTCGCCACGACCGCGTCCTCTGGGTCGCCAACATGCATACAGCGGGCGAGAGACAATTCTACGTAGTGGCCCTGATGTATACATTGTTCCAGCACCTCCCACACGACATTCGGGTCGGTCTACTGTACGATGTCGCCTGCGCCTTCGAGCGCAGCTGCCTGAAGTGGGGATTCCTGGCCCCCTTCATGGATCGAATCGCCTTCGCGGTGTCGGTCTTCCATGCGTTCGGGCACGAGTGGGCATGCCAGCTGCTCTATCATCCTCGGAAGCGCGTGGGGTTTGGGTATACCAACGGGGAGGGGTGTGAGCGGTTCTGGCAGTCGATACGGCACTTGATTCCGCATTTGCGTATCTCCGGGGTACGTCTTTTACCTTTGCATCGAGAAACTTGGCTAATTCATTCCTCAGTATCATAACCGCCTTTACATCTTGGACGCCCAGATCGAGCATGCCCAGGAAGCGAGCCTTTTCCGCCTCGCGGAGTGGATCCATCGCCGTTATCGTCACAGCATGCAGAAGCGCGCTGACGCCACCGAGGCCCTACGGAAGTGCGGGAAACCCAAGACGCTGTTGCGCGAGCAGTGGAAGATGCAGGTTATCGCCCAAACGAGGCCTTTACCGCGTGCGTGAATACAGCGCAAATAATTTGTCAAGTACATTCACTGACTTGTTTGTAGGTCGATCAAAAACCCGGGGGCAGCAGGCCGTGAACGCGGTGATGCTTCTGCGTGCGGCTGTGAAAACACGCCAAGGACAAGTGCGCGAGCTGCGCCAGAGGTTCCTTGACGCTGTCCAGCAAGACCACCCCGACGCCGCCATGTGTCAGGCGGAGTACCTGGCAACTCAACAGGCTCTCCAGAAAGCTGAAGGAACTCTGCGACGGAAGGAGGAGGCCCTGGGCGTCGACGAGCACGAGGAGCTGGAGCAGCTCGCAAATAGCGAGTACATGCAGCTCCATATGAACGCGCGCGCTTTGAAGCTGCGACTGCGGGAGCGGCTGCGAGCGAGGAAGTTTGAGATGGATGTCGTGGAACGTGCCTATCGACGGCTACTTAATGGTGACTGTTATAATATCAGTCTGGCAGGTATAAACTCACTGATATCCAGACGCAAAACTACGCGCACACACAGAGTCGGCTGTGAAACGTCGGGAACCCACGATCGCCAAGCTGGTGACGGAGTACAACAAACTCTGCGCACAGATGGCGAAGCTCATCTGCGATCGCAAAGCACCTTCAGGGTCGATGGCGCCACTCCCGATACCGCCGAAGGGGCTGTGGCAGCTCGATGTCGACGACGCTATCTTCCAGGACGTGGGATTAGACGACAGGGACGACGACAACGACGAGCCACCACCTTGGCTATGTGACGAGAAGGTGCGCACCGGCATCAAGGCTTTGCTGGAGCTGGATCGGTGCGATGAAGAAGATGCACGGTTGCGGAGGGAGAAGTTGGCGTTGCGGGTGTGGTTCGGAGAAGAATGGAAAATGATTACAGAGGCAATTGAAGGAGCTGGTACGTCGCGTGGATTCAAGCGGGATTCCATACTCAGCTAGCAGCACCTTCAGCGTCTGACCTCGATGAATACCATCTACGGCTGCAACAGGACAGGCTTGTTCGCCTGTGCGCCACATGGGACAAGTCCTTACCTGACATGGGCGTCGACATAGCGGCGATGCCACCGTGGGGACCCTCGGCGGTTCAGCTGGCGCGGTGTCGTGTGGACGCGCATCTCGCGGCGCGCGGGGAGGACAGGCATTATGGAGAGGAAAATGATGAGGGAGATGACGAGGTGGATCCTGGCGAGGAAAGCGGCGGAGAAGACAATGATTTTGGGGTGCTGGATGCCATGGAGAGGGCGGACATATATCGTAACAACGAAGCCGACTACTAGATAGAGCACTCCTGTAAAAGGACTACGAAATAATGAATAAAAAAAGTGCCATGACTCTACCGTAAGTATTTCTTCAGGTGGGAAAAAAGACTATCGCCGAAATAAGGCCATGACGGGATTCGAACCAGGGATTGTCGGCTTATGTCATGCAACATAAGCCTTACGCCGCTATCCACTCGGCTACAAGGCCATTATACCCACCCAAGTGTAAGCCATTCCATCAGGTCCTGCTTTAAGTCACGGAACTTTTTTAATTTTGAACATAATATTAATCTAGTTAATCTAATCTGGAACCTGCCAGATTTGAACACAGGCGTTAATGGTCTCACACGGGAAATACCCTGTGCCACTTGCAGCGAAAAAAATGCTAGCTTTAAAGGATGAAATAGAAGAATAATGGGCGACACACGGCAGTTTGAATGAATGCATGCATGGCATGATTTATTTGACTTTTGGCTGAGGGTTCATTTGTAATGGACCATCGGGTATCTACTCAAACCCCCCATTCAACTGGGGCTTGTATCATATATTTATTATCTTTTTTTCTGCTTCTTTACAAGTACTTGTGATGATTTCGGACACGCGCGCCTGTAATTATTTATGATAGTATTATGTCACGTCTGTCATGTAGATAAGATGCGCGGGATTTCCAGTAAATGATCATCTACTTTTTACCCTCTCACATCGAAAGCTGCCACACTACTTAGCCCTCTTAACAGCTAACTAGCTTGGAGGCCTTGCCGTAAAGGTAGGTTCTTCTCATTTTCTTGTTTCTTCAATTCCACCATTGGTACACTTGCTTTATTGAGCTGCGCCTCGAACAGAAGTCCAGCTTGTGTAGGCTCGTACTGTTTTACGCCATTCAGACAGCGGATATCTTGTTGACACCTCGCCATATGATCCCTAGGTGGCTTACCCTGAAATATAACAAGTATTTGCAGGCCGTACTCGACACATCTTACACGATTGGCCATGATTGAAATCTTGATCTGATGTCTCAGGCCCAGATATATGGTGGGCTGGTATGATTATGTCATAGGTGTCACATCCGCTTCTAACCTGACCACACCTGCACTCCAGCCCCGTACCCTGTACCTGCACAGCACTTTTTGTTCCACTAGCAGCCTGTTGAGCCGATCTCACTACGAGGCAGCTCGGAATGGTACAGGGCACCAGCTGTCGTTCTCCAATATTGCTCAACAAGAGCAATTCCAAGTGGATCTCACTACGAGGCAGCTCGGAATGGTACAGGGCACCAGCTGTCGTTCTCCAATATTGCTCAACAAGAGCAATTCCAAGTGGATCTCACTACGAGGCAGCTCGGAATGGTACAGCGCACCAGCTGTCGTTCTCCAATATTGCTCAACAAGAGCAATTCCAAGCAGATCTCACTATGAGGCAGCTCGGAATGGTACAGCGCACCAGCTGTCGTTCTCCAATATTGCTCAACAAGAGCAATTCCAAGCAGATCTCACTACGAGGCAGCTCGGAATGGTACAGCGCACCAGCTGTCGTTCTCCAATATTGCTCAACAAGAGCAATTCCAAGCAGATCTCACTACGAGGCAGCTCGGAATGGTACAGCGCACCAGCTGTCGTTCTCCAATATTGCTCAACAAGGGCAATTCTAAGTGGTCCAAGTGGATCTCACTACGAGGCAGCTCGGAATGGTACAGGGCACCAGCTGTCGTTCTCCAATATTGCTCAACAAGAGCAATTCCAAGTGGATCTCACTACGAGGCAGCTCGGAATGGTACAGGGCACCAGCTGTCGTTCTCCAATATTGCTCAACAAGAGCAATTCCAAGTGGATCTCACTACGAGGCAGCTCGGAATGGTACAGCGCACCAGCTGTCGTTCTCCAATATTGCTCAACAAGAGCAATTCCAAGTGGATCTCACTACGAGGCAGCTCGGAATGGTACAGCGCACCAGCTGTCGTTCTCCAATATTGCTCAACAAGAGCAATTCCAAGTGGATCTCACTACGAGGCAGCTCGGAATGGTACAGGGCACCAGCTGTCGTTCTCCAATATTGCTCAACAAGAGCAATTCCAAGTGGATCTCACTACGAGGCAGCTCAGAATGGTACAGGGCACCAGCTGTCGTTCTCTAATATTGCTCAACAAGAGCAATTCCAAGCAGATCTCACTACGAGGCAGCAATTGATGGGTTCCCTCAATTTCAGCAAGTGGATCTCACTACGAGGCAGCTCGGAATGGTACAGGGTGCTAGCTGTCATTCTCTAATATTGCTCAACAAGAGCAATTCCAAGTGGATCTCACTACAAGGCAGCTCGGAATGGTACAGCGCACCAGCTGTCGTTCTCTAATATTGCTCAACAAGAGCAATTCCAAGCAGATCTCACTACGAGGCAGCAATTGACGGGTTCCCTCAATTTCAGCACAACTTACAACAACTAAGAATTCACTGACTTGTTTACAATCCCTAGAGTGAGAATAAAGCAAGAATAAGATAATTAAACCAACAGTGAGAAAAATTGGTGGGATGTCCCACAGCAATGAAAAATGGGCGGGATGTCCCACAGGAATAAAAAAGGGAGTGGGATGTCCCACAGCATGGGGGGGATGTCCCACAGCAATAAAAAAAAACAGGTGGGATGTCCCATTGGAATAAAAAATAGGTTGGATGTCCCACAGTGCTAAAAACAGAGTGGGATGTCCCACCCCAATGAAAACATAGAGTGGGATGTCCCACTGGCACAAAAAATGTGTGGGATGTCCCCCAAATGTGTACAGTGAGAGTGGGATGTCCCACCACAATGAAAACATAGGGTGGGATGTGCCACACCAACCAAAAAAATGTGTGGGATGTCCCACTGGCATGAAAAAATGTGTGGGATGTCCCACAGCAATGAAGAAATGCGTGGGATGTCCCACAGCAGTGAAAAAATGTGTGGGATGTCCCACAGCAATGAAGAAATGCGTGGGATGTCCCACAGCAGTGAAAAACTGTGTGGGATGTCCCACAGCAATGGAAAACTGCGTGGGATGTCCCCCTAGCCCAAAAAAAGTGTGGGATGTCCCACACCAGCAAAAAAAAGGAGTGGGATGTCCCACCGGCATGAAAGAATGTGTGGGATGCCCCACCAGCATGAAAGAAATGTGTGGGACGTCCCACGCCAATGAAAAAATGAGTGGGATGCCCCAGTCCCACCATATGGTAGGTGCCGTTGTCACAGATGTTGCAGCTTAAAGATCACAACATTTTGGTAGCAGGTAGTCAGTTAACTGAGTAAGATATTCACCATATAATCTGGTAGGGGTAAAGGTACTGTATTGTTTGCGAAATGAATCAATAATTACCATTACAAGAGTGCAGCGGGACCATGTCAGTACTTTGATTAAGGAAGAGGATAATCAGCATGGGGAACGAGAATGCCTCATGATGCCAGTTTATTTCAAGGAGGTAATTGTGCAGATATGGCATGAGTGCAGAAGTTGACCTGCTTACAGTTGTTTGTTTGAAAGTTCAGTTTCTCATAGTAATAGCAAAATAAAGCAGGCAATAAACAGCAAAGCAATATAAGTTCAATGGTTGCATGATTGAGTGGAACACGTCCTCTCATTACCATATCTTCCTGGATTAGCTTTGGCAAGTGACCCTGAGGAGCAGAGTCTACAAAGTGGCATTTAAAATGGATTCACTTGGACATACATAATTCTATAAAGAGTGATGATTCTCCAATATGTGTGTACAGTACCAGTTACAGTGAAGGGTGGTGTTTTGGAACAATCACAAGTGGTGGCCTCATGGAGGGGAGCACACCTATGTGGCATGGTCCAAATATCAGGCACCAGCCACTGGCAGGATCTTTGAACAGACTGGTGCTTTCAGTGCAACATGGGCAGTGGACAGTACTGCCAGATGCTGGGTATTATACCAAAATAAATGTGCTCTCATAAACGTAGCTTATACCTAGGATGAAAGCCCTAAGAAAGGGCTTCAAGAATCATCCTCAAACATAGAAATCGGTGGAGAAATGAGCCTGAAAATTCACTTTTTCTCCAGGGCAGGTATCAGGGGTCCTGCCCGCAAAATGGGCCAGTGGGATATCCGGCTACGCTTACACAGAAAACACGAAGCGACACATGGTAGTCATTCTTATCCAAGAAATATTTGCCCGATAAAAACCACCGTGCCATGAGCAGGAACAGAAGTTGGCAACTGAAGATTGTCGCTGGTCTTGATATCCAACATCGCTCAAAGTCGCAATTGAGAACTTACTCACAAGTGAGGGGGAGTGACGACATGACGATAACCATGCGATCGTCAAGGGCTACCGGTCTCAGTAGGACAGCGACAACAAGGGAGACGACGCTGGCTGACGTCAACACAGCGGATATTGTGGCGGCCACCAGCCATATTTGGTTATACCATCGAAGGAGGTTTGCGGTACCATAGCCTGCATCAGGAAAAAAGGTTTTGCTACGTCGCTAAAAGCCAATGTGCGTAGTATCGATAGCACCATCGTAGCTCTTCGTAGCCCTGATAGCCGCACACTGGCGATCCGTAGCTCTTGATAGCCGCCAGCTGCGGATCAGTAGCGCCAGATAGTCGTGATCCGACGAACAACTGAGCCTTGAATTCCAAGGAGAGTTTTGCATATGTAGATCTTAGTGAGAGTGCAACAAAGTGAATTGAAGAAGAAGCCAACCCACTGTAAACTACGTTTGAGCTAATCGACAACGAAAAAATATCAAAACTCCGCCCACACGTGCGCGATGGCGTGATTATTTTTGACAGATTGTTGATGCTGGTTGTCGCCTCTTGCCTTTCCCCCCCATCTTCCCTTGCCTCCTTCCCCCGCCTCCCTCCTTCCCCGCCTTCCTCATCCTTCCCTCTTACCCTACCTCTTCTGTGCAACATCAATCATCAACATCTCTTTGCTTACTAGTCCAGATCTGTCATCTCAAGTCGTCTTGACTCGTGCGGGGTCCTCAAGTGCCGCTCAAGCTTAACCTCAAGCTCGTCAAAGTACTTCCTTCCAAAGAACACTCCAAGCGCATTGCAACCGTATTCTTTCTACCTTGACGGCTCATCAATATTCAAGCTCTGTTTGACTTCGCCCAATATTCAAGATTCATACCACTTCAAGGGTCCCCCTCCTACTTTTACCGATGACTATGAATGCAGTGAGCGGCAGCCTAAGTTACCAGAGCAGTTACTGAGT